TTAATGCCCTTGGATTTGCCATGTGTCATTTGTATAAAAGAGGAGTGAATTGTGGAGAGAAAATCCTTCCGCTCAATTGTTAGTCGGCTTATCATATTCTTATACCTAAAAACACTACATATGAGAGAGAAAATTCTTCCTTTCAATTGTTAGCCGACTTATCTTATATTAAAAAGAACTACATGTGAGAGAGAAAGCTTTCACACACAACTATTAGCAAGCTTATCTTGTAAGACCTAAAAGTACTAAGTATGAGAGAAAAATTTCCCCTCTCAATTGTTAGTGAACTTATCTTCTTATACCTAAAAGCACTACATATGAGAGGGAAAGTTCTTCCGCTCAATTGTTAGCCGACTTATCTTATACTTAAATGAACCGTTTATGAGAGATCAAGTTCTCCCACTCAATTGTTAGCAAGCTTATCTTCTTATACCTAAAAGCGCTACATGTGAGAAAGAAAATTTTTCCTTTCAATTGTTAGTCGACTTATCTTACCTAAAAGCCGCAAATTATACCGTATGACTGGTATACGATGAGCATCGTATACCGGTATACGGACTTCTTTATTTTTTTTCCTTTTGTTTTTAAAACATGGTAATAACTTTTTTATTTTTGATCCGATTTTTATAAAATTTATATCAACTTTTTTTTTTCATGATTCTTCAAATGAGACCAATATTGCTTATGTAATTTCAAGAAATTATCGAACTATTATATTAATGAGTATTGGATTATAAGGAAAATCGAACTAAATTTAATACAGAAAAATAATTGTGTAAATCACAATTTATCTTAAAATTGTGTATATAAAAAATTTATTTTATTATATATTTATACATGTGAGTTACATATTTTTATACGTAAAGTTACATATTTATACACACGAGTTGCATTTGGCTTGCCTCAACGCGAGTTACATATTTTAACACGTAAAGTTACATATTTTTACACGTAAAGTTACATATTTATACACGCGAGTTACATATTTATACACACGAGTTGTATTTGACCTGTCTGAACGCGAGTTACATATTTTTACACGTAAAGTTACATATTTTTACACGTAGAGTTACATATTTATACACACGCGTTGCATTTGGCCTGACTGGACGTGAGTTACATATTTCTACACGTAAAATTACATATTTTACATAGGTTAATATAATAGTTCGATAAGATGTTAAAATTACATAGGCAATATTGGTCTCATTTGAAAGATCATGAAAAATAAAAAAAAATTGATATAAATTTTATAAAAACCAGATCACAAATGAAAAAGTTATTATAGTTTTTATCAATAAGAAAAATAAATAAATAATGCATAAAACCGTATGCCGGTATACGGTGCTCACCGTATACCGGTCATACGATATAACAACTGCCTAAAAGCACTACATATGAGAGAGAAAGTTTTTTCGCTCAATTGTTTACCGACTTATCTTATACTTAGAAGACTACTTATGAGAGAGAAAGATTTCATGCTTAATTGTTAGCAAACTCATCTTCTAATATTCCAAAAGCACTACATATGAGAGAGAGAATTTACAATGACAATACTAACATTTATGAAATTTGATTTTTAAAAAAAAATTAGAGAAACAATGAAAACATTAATAAACCTCCATATATCTTTAAAATTTTATATATTGAATATTGATGTCATATGAAAGATTGTTAAAAATAATGAATTTTGATATACTTTTTATATCATGAATTATTTTCTTTATTTAATACGGAACATTCTGTATTGAGGTTGGAAAATAGGAAGATTGTTTAATAGTCCTTCATTTTTTCTTAAATTTTATATATCCAATCTTGGTGTCATATGAAAGATTGTAAAAAATTATGGATTTTGATATAGTTTTTATAAAAAATTAGATAAATGGTAAAAAAGTTATAACACTTGGAAAAATCTAATACATATTTTCTAATGGGGATACTCTAATATCCTAATAAGCCTAGCATCATCAAAATCTAAATACAATTATTCTTACAAATTTTATATATGCATTATTGGTGTCATATGAAAGATCGTAAAAAATTATGAATTTTGGTATATGTTTTATAAAAATCAGAGAAAAATTGAAAAAGTTATAACACTTTAAAGAAAATGGAAGTTTTTTATATAATGATCCCCATTAATTAATCGATCCCACGTTTTTTGTTCAAATAGAAATTCAAATAGAAAGCCAGTGAGTTAGTTTTGGTGAGTTGGTTTAGAAAGCCATGTGGCATTTTTATAGGAGATGAGCAAATTGTGGAGAGATGGACACATATGATTCATTAAGGGCATAATTGTATTTTAATGAGCTATTTCTTTTCTTATATATAAATAGATAGAAGAGTGATTAGCTATAAATTATATTTTGAAAAGTGATACTTGTATATGAATGTGTGAGTTACTAAAAGTTTATAAATATTATTTTAAACACCAAATTAGTTTTGTGGGAAGAAAATGAATTTTTAAAGTTATAGTTATGTATAAAACTATTTTCGCCAAACGTGATTATTTTACGGGGTTGGGTGGGCCTTACTTAGCTAAAAAGCTAATTTTTGGTTTCCTTTACTTTGTTTTGTTTTCTGCACTTTAATTGTGCAGGTGATGAAGGTTATGCATGATGATGAGAGCTACGTTAGATCACGTAGTTTAGTATTTATAATCACCTAGTTATTGTTTATTTCAGTTTGAGAACATGTAGACATTTAAATTATTTTTGAAATTTTCAGTACTTAAATACTTGGATTATTTTTGGATGGTGGTTTAGCCTGTGCATTCGGTTATGTGAGAACCGAGTGTGGCGGTAACACTCATTTCCCTATTAAGACTTCCGCTGTATCTATGATGTTTTCAAATAAAGTTAATAATTTCTTTGAATAAATCATTATTTAAATGTATTTTTGGTTGGGGGAAATGGGGGTGTTACAGGGCGTGTCGGGCTCGGGCCCAGTTTTGGGCGAACCGGCCTGGACGGTTCGGGCCGGGCCCGGGTCAATTTTTTTGTTTTGTTTTTTCAATTTTTTTTCTTTTCCTAGGGTTGGGCTGGGTGTTTTGGGGAGGTTTGGGGGGTGGGGGTGAGGGGGGGGGGGTCGGGGGATAACAAGAAAGCAAAAAAAAAATTAAGTATTGAACCGGGCCCGGCCCGGACCCGGTAGCAACCCGGGCCGGTTCCGGGCCCAAGGAATTGCAAAAAAAGCCCACCCGGGCCCGGCCCGGAACCGGAACCGGCCCGGCCCGGAACCGGAACCGGCCCGGCCCGGGTCCATCCATACTTAGGCCAATATTCATTTTTGGTCAAACAAATGTATAAAAATCCTCTCTTAAACTTCTCTTTGATCGAACTGGCGTGGTCCTACATGCTTCTATTCCCTGATTCACTGCTCGTCTGCTTGCTAATCACATGAAAAGCAATACTGCTAGCTACCCATACCAAAATGACTTTTTTCTTTTTTGAACGAGCTGAAAGCTACAAAATATATATATGCATATCCATACGCATGTTATGTATCGATGATGCCACTTTTATAAAGTAAACGGAAGAGTACTTACTTGATCATTGGTTTTGCCATTGTGCCCTCTTTGCCTTATCTTAAATCCATGTCTGCAACAGTATGTACATATGGGAATCCAAGGTATCCATGTGGCACTCGGGTATAGACATGAGGACAGAGGCGGCTTGAGCATTTCGGAGACCCCAGACGAAAAATATTTATTATGTACAAATCGCTTTTAAAATCAGATAAATTGAATAAAAATCACCTTATGAAAAAAAACATATTCAAAGTTCACGATATAATGTTTGTAATATTCAAAAGGATAAATTTTTAAATGCAAACATATGCAAAACACAAGGGCAAACTTATACTTGTAACACCCTATTGGCCTATTATTCATACCTTTTGAAGTGCAAAATCAATAATAACTTCATAAGTCTCAATTTTAAGCTCAAGTTATATTTATCGGGAGGTTGTTCGAGTTTTGGTATTTTTGGAGTCAAAATCAGAGAATTTGAGTCTGACACCAGCGTTTGAGAAGCAATAGGGACGAGTTGAGAAGCATTTGAGAGTTTATTAGGAGCATTGGAGGTAAGTGAGGTGTTAAAGACAAAGTTTTGAAGACAAAAGAGCTCTAAAATTAGGTACGAGATCAAAAGAAGACGAATAAGGCTTGAAAAGAGCGGTCAGGATGACGTTCTATCAATCGTTCAAGCATATATTTTCTTAGGAACATCAAAAGAACACCATTCAAGTTTCATATTAAAGCCAACTTCAAGGGCTAGAGGTCACCATTACTTTAGTAGCCCGCCACTACTTTCTGTATATATCTGAAATTACTCACTATCCATTGGTCTTTGTACAAGAATTTACTCACAGCTCATTTTTCTTCATGCATGAATTTTTTCACTCTATTTGTCTGTATATAGGAATTTACTCACTGCCCATTGATCTTTGTACAAGAATTTACTCACCACTCATTTGTCTGTATACATGAACTTTCTAACTCAATTTGTCTGTATACATGAATTTACTCACTGTTCATTGGTCTTTGTACAAGAATTTACTCACTGCCCATTTGTCTGTATACAGGAATTTACTCACTGCCCATTCGTCCATATATAGGAATTTAGTCACTGTTCATTTGTCTTTATACAAGAATTTACTAAATGTCTGTTTGTCTGTATACATGAATTTACTCACTGTTTGTTTTATATTCTTAACCTGGCAGCAGATTATTGATAAAGATTATGAGCCATTCTCCAAGGAAGTTGTTGATGAAATTAATAAGTTTGGGTTGCGGGTTGAAGTTGTGGAGAAAATGGCAAATGGGATACAAGAAACACTTGTTGATAGTGTACAAATGAGGCATAAAGGAATAGAACAAACAATCTCTCAAAATGTCGAAAAAGACCTAAGGGAATAGAAGATAACAATTTTGATTTGAAGGACTAGTTGTACAATGTGCTAGCCAAAACACAACATTTATGTAGCACAATATTAATTTTGGATGAACAATGCACATTTTTGTAGAATACTGTTTACTACAATGCATTATATTTGTAAAATATTTCTAGTTTATATTCATTGTGCACAAAAAATACAATGTTTATATTCAAATAAGTACATAGTCGTCGTCATCATTCAATTTACATGGAGGTCACGACATGTACGAAACACAACATTAATTCAAAACAAATGAAGATTCAAGTCTATATCATCATTGAATGTGATTGGCATCGTAGTTTCAACATTTCTTTTGGATCCATTTTCATTCACCTCAACTGGCCCCTTCTGTCTATTTTTTCTTGAAGCACTTTTGCTTTTTGAATATTTTGGATCAAAAATTTGTTGTCTGTGGTCATCTTGTACCATTGTGGTTATCTCCATCACTTGTGTCATCATAGCACAAATAGAAGATGGATGGCTACAAGGTGCACTATACTCACGTAATTGGAATGGTTATCTCCGGCACTCGTGTTCGAAAATAAGTCATGCATGTATACATGGATTGCATTACAAACTCGTCTTTGTGTTCACATTAATACAAAAAACACCATAAACACCTTTTACAAACTAAATGTCTGTATACAGATATTAGTTGTCCGTGTATATTAGTTGTCTGTGTACACGATAATTATAAGTCGTCTGTGTACACAGGGACTGCAAGAAGAACTCATTTTTTATCCCAAAAAATGCAAAAATAAAGAGAACAAACAATAAACATCTTCTACACAGCTACCTAAATCATCCATGGCGTCCATGTTCCTGTTTAGCCGTTCCCCATGGTTTGAAATGGTATTACCATATCCGGTTGCCGTCGTCGTTTCCATCAACAACTCTTCATATCAATCTTCTCCACTTATTGGTGTTATAAAATCCATTCCTAAACAATGAAAATATGGCCCTTTATAATAGGAGAGTGAAGAGGGTGATGTCTAACAAGAAAGCTTGGAGAGGAAGAAGAAAATACAAGAGAGAGTAAGAAGAGAAGCATGTGTGGTTTGGGGGGGGGGGGGGGGGGCTAAAATTTGGTAAAATAAATGGTGAAATTCATACCGATAATTCGTACGTTTGGTGGTTCTATAATAATCTCTACTGGAAAAGTCAATACAAATAATCCAAACTCGTAAATGCGTCTTTTTTTATGAAATTTATACTGAAGTGATAAATTGTCTTGCAGTCTTGCTTATTCAAACCAAAATAAAAATTAAACCACGCAACGTCATTTTTCCTAAGTACCAAAGTTCAAAATTATCAGAAAATAAAATAATGCACGTCGAGTCAAATGCGTCTATATAGATAGATTAAACCATAGATTATTATCCTTCAAAAAAATAATTATAGTATGATATAAAAAATAATAAACTTAAATTTATGACAATGGTGAACAAAGTCAATACTGTATCTTTATATATTAAAAATTAAAAAGATTAATCTAATCTATCTATGTAGACGTGTTTATGAGTATGAATTATATCTATAGATATCTTCGGTAGAGATTATTATTGTAGAACCGCTAATAGTATGGATTATTGGTATGAATTATTGAACAATAAAGAAAAAGAATATTTTGTATTATTCGTGTCTATCATAGTTGGCCACATGGGTGTATAAATACATGATAGTGGAGATATTATCTCCTAACTAATAGGAGAGATCTTTGTAATTAGGCTACACGCTTGGTAACTACCATAAATATAATTACAGTACTAACTCCACCAAATTATGTACATAAATAATAGAATAATTTGTACAATGTATTTATGATTTAATACGCCCCCCGCAAGATGGAGGCGCCGTTGGAGACTCCCATCTTGGTACGAAACGCTTCAAACTGAGATCGGCCAAGTGGTTTTGTAAGGACACCGGCAATCTGAAGTTTGCTATATATATGATGAACTTTGAGAAAACCCTTCTCCACTAGATCACGAACAAAAAAATAGTCTAATGCAAGATGTTTCATGCGAGAGTGGAACACAGGGTTGGCACATACATACGTAGCTCTGAGATTGTCACAATACAATGATGGCGTGGTAGAACAACGGATACCTAGATCAAGAAGGAGATGACGTACCCACATCATTTCAGCGCTTGCATTTGCAACAACTCGGTATTTCGCCTCGGTGGATGATCTGGAGACGCATTTTTGCTTAGCTGACTTCCACGAAATAATGTTGGACCCAAGATATAAAACATAAGCTGTGGTGGAACGCCCATGATCGTGGACCCCACCCCAATCATTGTCGGAGAAAGTTGAGAGATGCAGCCCAGTGGATCAACGCAACACAAGCCCAAAGTTCAAAGTACTCTTAAGGTACCTTAGGATACGTTTAACAGCCTGCCAGTGGTTTTGAGTGGGACGTTGCATGTATTGAGATAGTTTATTCACTGCGAAGGATATGTCCGGTCTAGTGAATGCCAAATATCGTAGTAGTCCGAGAGCTTGCTGGTACTGTGTGACATCAACCGAAACTCCATTGTCATCCGAGGAAATTGTCACCGTAGAGGTCATGGGTGTCATCACCCCCTTCGCTTCACTCATTTTGCAAGTTTCCAGAATATGGAGAGTGTACTGCCGTTGTGTGAGGAACAAACCATCCGAGTGTGGAATAACCTCTACTCCCAAGAAGTGATGAAGGGGCCCCAAATCCTTTACTGAAAATCGTCGTGTCAACTTAGAAATAAATAATTCTAGAGCTCGATTATCATTTCCTGTCAAGACAATATCATCCACATATACAAGAAAATAAATGTGAGTGTTATCATGAGAGTAAATAAATAGTGAGGCATCCGCTTTGGATCTTCGAAAACCAGCCGAGAGAAGGAACCAGGAAAGTTCCAGATACCAGGCACGGGGTGCCTGTTTTAAGCCATAGATGGCCTTCCGTAAGCGACATACATGTGTAGAGTGTTGGTGATCAATATAGCCGGGAGGTTGAATCATGTACACCTCTTCCGCTAGTGTCCCATGCAAAAAAGCGTTGTTAACGTCTAACTGCCGAAGTGACCAGTCCCGAGCGAGAGCAATAGACATAATAATACGAATGGTGTCCGGTTTAGTAACCGGACTGAACGCATCATAGTAATCTCGGCCAAGCTGCTGCATGAAACCTCGGGCCACCGGCCTGGCCTTGTACCGGGCTATGGAACCATCAGGATTTCGTTTAATACAAAAGAGCCACTTGCAGGTGACCGGCTGTTGAACGGGACGGGGGACAAGGTCCCACATGTGATTCCGGCATAGGGCATCGTATTTTTCATCCATAGCTCATTTCCAGTTGGGATCGGTAAGTGCTTGCTAAACACTAGTGGGTTCAGAGGTGGTTAAAGGATACTGGGTGGTGGTGTGATTTAAAAATGGACCTCCAAGATACCGGGAATTGGGTTTTCTTTGACGGACAGGTCGATGTAAGTGAGTGGGTGGGTTTTGATTAGGGGTTGTAGTGGCGTGGCTGGATTCGGGGTTTATGGAGATGGGCATTGGGTTTTGGGTGACGGTGGGTACGATGGGATGCTGGGATATGTCAGGTGAATGGGTAGAGTGATCAGATGAGTCGGTGGTTTGGTCAGAGGGTGTAGGTGATGCAGGAGTGGCTGACTCGTGTGTGTGAGTGTGAGGTGACGCGTGGAGGGAAACGGGAAGATCAGTGGGAGATGGGTTTTGACCAGGTTGATGGGGCAGTGTGTGCATAGGTATGTTTGACCAGAGATGGGGGAGTACCGTATACTGTAGAGGACGAACACGCTGGTCGTGTACATGGGTGCCAGTTGGAATGTGTTGGACATGTGTAGAATCACCAGAATAAGCGTTGAGGTTGTGAAACGGGAAAATAGATTCGAGAAACCGGACATGACGCGAGGTATAAATGCGGCCAGAGGAAGGATCAAGACAATAAGAAGCAGACTGGCTGAGGGAGTATCCTAGAAAAACGCAAGGCGTGGAGCACGGATCTAGCTTATTGGTTGTGTACGGCCGCAGCCAGGAAGAAGTGATTCCACTGCCGCAGATTGCTCTTTTTGACGCGTTTCAAGCTCTAGCAAGATTTCCTGTAGTTCCGCCATGGGCAGCGTTGTGGGGCGAATTCTTATGGCAGAGATCAATTCATTATATTTCAGTCCTAGACCGTTCAAAACACCGATAACTAGGTCCTCTTCTGGAACCGGATTTTGTGCCAGTGCCAAAGCATCCGCAATGGCCTGCATCTCGGCTAGATATGTGAGGATAGAGTTGGAGCCCTTCTTGGTGCGGGCTAGAGCATTTTTGAGCGAAATGATTCTGCCGCGGGAGGAGCTAGCGAATGTGAGACTCAGTTTGTCCCATGCTTCTTTAGCAGTGGTAGCCGAGGAGATGACCGACTGAATAGTTTCGGAGCAGCTGCCGAGGAGGGCACTAATAATCATTTTATCCTGACGATACCAACGAAGGTACAATGGATTTGGTTGCGTTTTTGCGGCATCGGTGAACTGATCTGGTGCGGTGGTAGTCCCCGTGATATGTCCTTCAAGTCCTAATCCAATAAAAGCGGATTGAACTTGGCATCTCCAAACCGGAAAGTTGATGGAGGTAAGTTTGATGGGAAAGTGATTCGTGGCCGTGAGATGAACAACTGAAGTATGGGCGTCAGTCGCCATGATGCAGGATCGAAGAACGAAAAAAAAAAATACAGCTCTCAAAAGATCAGACTCTTTGATACCATATTGAACAATAAAGAAGAAAAATATTTTGTATTATTCGTGTCTATCATAGTTGGCCGCATGGGTGTATAAATACATGATAGTGGAGATATTATCTCCTAACTAATAGGAGAGATCTTTGTAATTAGGCTACACGCTTGGTAACTACCATAAATATAATTACAGTACTAACTCTACCAAATTATGTACATAAATAATAGAATAATTTGTACAACGTATTTATGATTTAATATGAATTTCATCAAAAAAATCTATTTATATGGTGTACACTAAAGTGTACACTTTTGTGTACAAAAAGCAATTTTCTTTTTTTAACTAGTATTAGTATTAACTTCATTTTAGTTACAGTATATACAATTATACTTATGTATTACGGAGTACTAAGTAAGTCGTTAAAATGAAAAAGTAGTATTAGAAAATTTGGAGTATATTGTTGGGTGTGTTTCGGAAAATAAAGAAAATTAATTAAAATAAATTAATTAAATAAAATGACTAAAGATAAACAGGAAAGGAGATGAAGCAGAATTAGTCAAAGCTCGTGCTACGCACGATTTCCTTAAAACGTATTTGTTGCCTCCCACGGTGCTAGGAGCGTTGCAACAATCGTTTCCCAGGATACGATGACTACGAACTAATGTTTGAGCACACAAACAAGAGTTCCAGCGAACGAGAACCAAGTATGAACACAGAAGGAAGTTTGCTGAGTAGTTTTAGGTGTTTTTAGCTCAAAAAATTCGTGAGGAATGTATTGTGCGTTGTTGTTGTTGCAAACCACCTGCCAGCTTTTTATAGGAGGATTTGTTGTGTGTTAAATGGGGTGTTAATGGACCTGAACGTTGGACTTCAATGACCAGTCCGTTGGGCATTGAATCATCCATAAACTGTCCATTTAACGTTGCATTAAAAGACAAGAACGTTGGACATTTAATGGTTGTAACGGCTTGGAGCAGTTCTGGTGCGCGATCAGAATACCCCCACCAGAGTTGGAGCAGTTCTGATGCTACCAGAAGACCTCCACCAGACCGTATCTTTGAATGATAGGTTTTCGGACGACATTCGTGTCCGCAGGTCGCCCGCGCACACGAGTCGCGGTTTTTCTTCTCCGTTTCGGGATTTGATCGACACCCCCCCTGCGCGTAAGAGAGAGTCTTTCCCTTTAGGAATCTTAACTCCTTAAAAGAGGCTTCCCTTTATAAGGGGGTGAAAATCCCTTGAGTTTTTCGGTGTGGGATAAAACACACTAGAAATTCACCATTTTCCCAGTTTTTCCATTTCAACGAGTGAACTTCGAGAATCAATTTCTCATTCACCCGTTATCCGTTTTGAGTGTACCATATATCGAATTGTAGCCCTTAACAAGGAAGATCCGAAACCACTCTGACCCGACCCAAATCGTAAGTGGACCCCACTCAAATAATTGCCCCAAAAAGACCATTTAATGCAATTTTAACACATTTTTCCAACAATCCCCCACATGAATGAAAATTGATTTTCGAGACTTAAAAAGACACGAAGATAGGAGGACACATTGTGTTCACCGGATGATCCTTGCATACGGAGAGGTAGGTTTTATCCTTTGAACCTTTCGTTGTAAAGACACGTTTATTTACTGGCTGTCTAGTAGACTCGATGTCCTTGAACTATACTGCCGTCGTGTAAACATTGACTTATCTTTACACAAGAACCTTCCAACTTTGTCCCGTTCTCATGGGTGTGCCCGTTTTGGCCATGGGTCACCGTCCTGGTTCTGCAAGAGTTTCTAAAGAACTGAGCCTTTACAGTTCTCCTTTGAAGCGGCCCTCTTCTCTCTCACATAGGTGATTCTTTCACGAGTATCCCGCATACTCTTCCAATGTTATCGAGTAGATCAACATTTTAGAATCATTAAAGCAAACGTTTTTGCTAACCTCGTGCGGGAGTCACTGTTTTAACGAGGAGTGGGAAGGAGTCCGGGACCCCCACAGTGACCATCTGATAACCCGCTTTCGCGGCGTTGTAGTAAAACGGAGTTTAACCCTTCCGTATGGAAAAGTTTATCCCCGAGTATCGTGTCTCTGAGGAGTGGCGGAGGGAAGTGTTGGTTTCAATATCGGTCCCCGATTAGTACGAGTCGTTGCAAGCTTTCTCAAACGATTAATTGTTATAATGATTAAGCAAATAAAAATAAACAACAAAAGTAGTAATGAAGAATTTAATTAAACGGTATTAATGAGTAAACTAAAACTAGTGAACATGCAAAATTACTTGAGAGAGAATATTAACTAATTAAAATATTAAATTAGCAAACTTGTGGATGAGTAAAGTTTCAAAAATAAAATAATAAAAAGTAAATTTAATGTGACTAGTGACAATAAAATAACTAATTAAAATGGGGGTTTAGATTTGGAATTAAGGATCTTGGGTGTCTTTGGATTATGAACAAAAAAAAAGAATAATTTCTCCAATCTAAGAATAGTGACATATTAATTCTCACAGACAAGAACTTGATTTTAATTCCCCTAACATGTCCTATTTCTAGGCTTAGTTTAGGGTGTGTGAGATGTGAGCTAAATTAATTCTACACTCATAGACAAGCAAGAATCATTTTTTCCAAACATTCAAAAGTGAAGTGATCAATTTCACAAATTACTCTTTCATTTCATCTCAAACAACTAGTCCTAAAAATTGGAGAAACTTCCTAAATTTAATTCAATATTCAAGAACACCCATTAACCTTAACTTTATCCAAATCCAAACCCCATGAAAATTTAGCCTAACATAATTATCAAGAAACTAATACAATTAATGGAGGAGCTAAAGTAATATAAGGAAACATATAATTCAAATACAAATTCATTCAACATAATAATAGTTCAAAATCCAACTTAAGAGTAAATCCAAATGATAAATAATCCAAGAGTGAAATTTAAAGCTTACTCAAACATGAAATTAAAGAAGAAATTTAACACAAAACCTTAACAACTAAGATTGAAAGATGAATGAACATGGAGTAGCTGGCTGCGGTTTTCGTCCTGCGTTTCTTCCCTTCCGGCCAGCTGCTATCTTGATTTTGCTCTGCCAAGAACTGCCCTTACCCTGCTGCCAAGAGCTGTGTCAATTGTTTCTGCGGCTGAATGAATTTTTCCTCGTTCCTAGCAGGTGGCTTTGTTTTTTTCCTTCCAACTTGCCTCTTTTCCTTGCAGCTATCTTTTATTTTGATTTGGCCGCAGCCATGTGCTGTTGTTGTTCACTCTATCCTCCCTTGTTTTTGTTGGCCGACTTGTCCATCTTATCTCATTTGTTTTTTTTGTTCTCTTTCCTTTTCTTTAATTTTTTTTGTTTGTTTTTCTTTGTTACGCAGCTTGGCTGCTTTTGTGAGTTTTTGTGTTTCTTTTTTTTTCTGATTTTGAAATGCAGCTACGCTTCTTGTATTTATCTTCTTCTTCTTTTTCTTTTCCTGATTTTTTGCTTTACTTGATTATTGTATTAAAATAGCATTGAATTATAATAATATACTAAAATTTGACAATCACAAAATTCAGATAACACAAATAAGAAGAAAAAAAAAATGAAATCAATCCAAACACTTGAAATAAACACGAATCACTCAAAAATGTAAACTTCAACACTAATTTCAAACATTAACAAAAATGCAACATAAACGCAGAAAAATGTAACAATTTGCCCCGAGTTTGACAAGAAATGCTATAAAAAGTGAGTGAAAATATATGAACAAATCAGACTTATCACCATCCTTCGCTCTATAATTTAGTTGTCCCTTTTGAACCTAGGACCAACTAGGTTGGGTATCCACTATAGAACTTTTCAATTCACGGGCTTTAGTCCCATTCCTCGTGACAACTTCTCCAACAATTCTCTATCCAATGCCTTGGTTAGCGGATCCGCTATGTTATCCTTTGACTTCACGTAGTCAACAGTGATAACGCCCGTTGTGAGGAGTTGTTTAATGGTGTTATGTCTACGTCGAACGTGTCTAGACTTACCATTGTAGAGATTGCTCTGTGCCCTTCCAATTGCCGCTTGACAATCACAATGAATGCATATTGGAGGGACAGGCTTCTCCCAACTTGGAATATCCTCGAGAAAATGGCGTAGCCATTCAGCCTCTTCAGTGCACTTATCCAAGGCTATTAGCTCAGATTCCATCGTGGATCTAGCTATTAACGTTTGTTTCGAGGATTTCCACGACACGGCTGCACCTCCCAAAGTGAAAACATATCCACTTGTGGACTTAGAGTCCTTTATGTCGGATATCCAACTAGCGTCGCTATACCCTTCAAGTACAGCTGGATATCTTCCATAGTGCAGTCCAAGGTTTTGGGTTTTACGTAAATACCTCAAAACCCGTATTATTGCCTTCCAGTGTTCACCACCGGGGTTGCTAGTATATCTACTTAGCTTACTAACCACAAAGGCAATATCAGGCCTGGTACAACTCATCAGATACATCAAACTTCCAATAATCCTAGCGTATTCTACTTGAGAAATACACTCTCCACGATTTTTGGTAAGATGAGTGTTTTTATCTAATGGCGTCCTTGCCTCTTGATAATCATCCTTATTAAATTTAGTAAGGATTTTATCAACGTAATGGGATTGGCTTAGCGTTAGACCGTCAGGTCCTCTAATTATTTTAATCCCAAGGATTAAATCGGCCAGCCCCATATCCTTCATGTCAAATTTAGAATTTAACATGTTTTTGGTAGAATTAATCATTAGATTATTGCTACCCACGATGAGTATATCATCCACGTATAAACATAAAATGACATAGCCGTCTACCGTGCTTTTCACATAGACGCATTTGTCACTTTCGTTTATCTTAAACCCATTAATTAACATTGCATGATCGAACTTTTCGTGCCACTGTTTAGGGGCTTGTTTCAATCCATACAATGATTTAATTAATTTACAAACCTTCTTTTCTTGGCTTGGAACACGAAAACCCTCGGGTTGTTCCATATAGATTTCTTCGTCTATATCGCCATTTAGAAAAGCGGTTTTTACGTCCATTTGATGAACTTCCAAATTCCGCAAAGCGGCAATCGCTAGTATCATCCTAATGGAATTTATTCTCGTCACGGGAGAATACGTGTCAAAGTAATCATGGCCCTCGCGTTGCTTGTATCCCTTGATTACAAGTCTGGCCTTATACTTATCAATGGAACCGTCTGATTTCATTTTACGTTTAAAAATCCACTTGGATCCCAAAGGTTTACATCCCGGAGGGAGATCAACCAATTCCCACGTGTGATTTTTTAGGATAGAGTCCACCTCACTTTTGATGGCTTCTTTCCACATAGGACCTTCAGTAGACGTCACGGCTTCCGTATAAGTCCGTGGCTCATTTTCTACCAAACATGTTAGAAAATCCGGTTCATTTTCTACCATACATGTTAGAATATCCGATTCAAATTCTACCAGGTAGGTGAGAAAATCCGGTCCGAAGGATTTTTCGACTCTAGCACGTTTGCTACGTCTGGGTTCGGGTTCTTCTCCGGATCCCTCGCTAGTATTTTCCATAGCTACGTCAAATGTTCGTTTTGACGTGCTAGGCCCTTCGTTGGACTTGCATGGAAATACATCTTCAAAGAATGAAGCATTCCTTGATTCAATTATTGTGTTTTTATGTACATCCGGATTATTCGAATCGTACACTAAAAACCGATAAGCACTACTATTTTGTGCATATCCAATAAAAATACAATCCACCGTTTTTGGACCTATTTTTGTTTTCTTAGGTGTTGGTACAAGCACCTTAGCAAGACACCCCCACACTTTTAAATATTGATAGGAAGGCCGTCTGTCTTTCCACAACTCGTACGGAGTTTTATCATATTTTTTCCGGGGAACCTTATTTAAAAGGTAATTGCTTGTCAAGATTGCTTCGCCCCACATATTTTGTGGCAAGCCCGAACTTACTAGCATCACATTCATCATATCTTTCAATGTGCGATTCTTTCGTTCGGCAACACCGTTTGATTGAGGTGAATAGGGTGCGGTACGTTCGTGTACTATACCCACACTAGCGCAAAAGTCACCAATTGGTGCTCCATACTCACCACCTCGATCACTCCTAACCGTCTTAATCCGTCGATTAAGTTGGTTTTCCACTTCATTCTTATAAAGAATGAATTTATCGATTGCTTCGTGTTTATTTTTTAATAAATAAACGTAGCAATAGCGAGTGCTATCGTCGATAAAGGTAATAAAATATTTATTACCGCCGCATGTTTGTATTGATTTAAAATCACAAACGTCACTATGAATTAATTCAAGTGGTTCCGTTTTTCTTTCAACCGATTTGAAAGACGTTTTCGTTAGTTTTGCCTCTACACAAACTTCACATTTGTGCTTCACATCAATTGTGAATTTAGGAATGTGGTCCATGTTAATTAATCTACGTATAGAATTAAAATTAACATGTCCTAGTCTACCATGCCACACATTGGAAGACTCAAACAAGTAAGCAGAAGGGATTTTATTATTATTATTAATAATAGTCATTACATTGAGCTTAAACAGCCCATCACATGTATACCCCTTTCCCACATACATTCCCGATTTAGACAAAACTAATTTGTCCGACTCAAAAACCATGCGGAAGCCATGCTTGTTCAACAATGAACCGGAAATCAGGTTTTTGCGTATCTCCGGAACGAACAGCACTTGGTTTAGAGTCAGCTCCTTGCCCGAAGTCATCTTCAGGACTACTTTGCCCACGCCTTCAACCGCAGAATGAGCTGAGTTTCCCATCCACACCTTCTCACCATTTGATGGCTCAAAAGTTGTGAATAACTCCCGGTTTGAGCAAATATGCCGGGTTGCACCGGTGTCCACGAACCACTCCTTGGAATTGGATCCAACGAGGTTGACTTCCGTAACCACAGCCGCTAAGATGATGTCTTCATCCTTTTGCCCACCTTGCACCAAGTTGACTTGAGAGTCTTTCTTCTTCCGTGGTGCCTTGCAATCCGAGGACTTGTGTCCATTTTTATTGCAATTGAAGCATTTTCCGTTGAACTTTGTCTTGGAAACGCCTCCCTTGGGACTGAGCTTGGTCTTCCCATTACTTTTATTTTTGGAGCCTTTAGCATGCTCCACCACGTTGGCCTTGGCGCCATGAACAATTGGGAGTTTCCCATCGTTCTTCCGGTTATCCTCTTCAATCCGCAGACGGAGGATCAATTGCTCCAAGTTCATTTCCTTTCGCTTGTGCTTAAGGTAGTTCTTGAAATCCTTCCAAGCTGGCGGCAATAAATGGATAATTGACGCCACTTGGAAAGACTCACTAACTGTCATTCCTTCATCTCGAATTTCGTTGAAGATCATTTGCATCTCCTCAACTTGACTCAAGACCGTCTTCGAATCCACCATTTTAAAGTCAAGGAATCGACCAACAACAAATTTCTTTGCGCCGGCATCCTCGCTTTTATATTTGTGGTCCAAAGCATTCCATAGCTCCTTAGCCGTAGCTAGTTTGCTATACACGTCGTACAAAGCATCATGCAGCCCGTTCAACACATAGTTTCGGCAAAGGAAGTCTGAATGCTTCCAAGCTTCAACCGCGTTGAAAGATTGCGCATCCACCTCACCCCCGGTTGCTACCGGCGCATCTTCGGTCAAGAATCTAGCAAGACCGAGAGTAGTGAGGTAAAATAGCATCTTTTGCTGCCACCTCTTGAAGTTTAACCCGTTGAATTTCTCAGGTTTCTCCACAGAGTTGCTTGGCACGGTCACCATAGGGATAGCCCTTTGGTTGGCCAAAGTAGATGCACCGCGTTGTGAACCATTGTTCACCGGTGCTCCACTTTCAGAGTGATTGTCGTTCAGAACATTCTGCCCAACACCAATCTCGTTTTCTTGAGAAGTCATTTTCGTTCTTTAACGTTTTTCCGAAAACACAAATAAAATAAGTTCGTTCACCAAAGTGACAAACTACGTTTAAGATTGTTTACCGGAGTAGAACAATCAACAAATACGTTTTAAGATTGTTGGGTGTGTTTCGGAAAATAAAGAAAATTAATTAAAATAAATTAATTAAATAAAATGACTAAAGATAAACAGGAAAGGAGATGAAGCAGAATTAGTCAAAGCTCGTGCTACGCACGATTTTCTTAAAACGTATTTGTTGCCTCCCACGGTGCTAGGAGCGTTGCAACAATCGTTTCCCAGGATACGATGACTACGAACTAATGTTTGAGCACACAAACAAGAGTTCCAGCGAACGAGAACCAAGTATGAACACAGAAGGAAGTTTGCTGAGTAGCTTTAGGTGTTTTTAGCTCAAGAAATTCGTGAGGAATGTATTGTGCGTTGTTGTTGTTGCAAACCACCTGCCAGCTTTTTATAGGAGGATTTGTTGTGTGTTAAATGGGGTGTTAATGGACCTGAACGTTGGACTTCAATGACCAGTCCGTTGGGCATTGAATCATCCA